TCTGCGAACTAGGTATATGACTAGGAGTGTCACCTTTGTCAGGCAAATACAGTCTTCAAGACTAACAGTCCGTAGCAGCACTCTCTAATTGACTTCTCTGCCTACTTATGACAGTCAACGCGTCAGGCAGCTCAGGTCTGCCATCGCTCAAACTTCTTTGATATTGAGCTTGCTACCACAACAACCACTACTGATGCTAGACAGTATTTGGTTTGAATTAGGCATTTTTAAAGATGAGATCTGGAAGGGATAAATTGTTAGGAAATGTTGCTGGCTGTACTGCAGTGATAAGTATGCGATAAACAGATCCCTTATCTACATTTGTTTCATCGTAAGCTCGAATACTGTAAATGAAAGAAGATAATCGATTTCCAACAATTGCTTCAACTTTAATTGTTTATGCAATATCGACGTTCTTACCTTGTGTAATGAACGCCTTCTGGCAGTAAACCAGCATCCATTCTAATGCCTAGGGCACTTTTGACATGTGCATCAAATCAATGTGAGTTGGAAAATTAACCCAAGTCGCATCGCTTACCAGAGTAAATGCATTATTCAAATTGATTTTCAAGGAGGCATCTGCAACGTGAAGCAACAATTAGTATTATAATGTAACAAAGCTTGTCTAAACATTTGGATGTAATATTGCAAATGTCTTTAAATCACTCAGCTAAATTACTTTAAAATAGAAACATACTCAAAATACGCACCTGATGTATGTGTTTTCAGTAAAAAATAACACCTGATCAAATCTCTGTTGTTTATATTCTAAGGGTGCGTCCAGACGCAACGTCAGTAGCAATCTGCAATCCATTTGAATGCACTCGTCTGCTGAAACGCTATTAGGGACTTTTCCGCGACCTCGGCTTACGCATGTCTGACCAAACTACTCCACTGAAAAAACTATTAGGCACGCATGATGATTGATGAATGATGAGTCTGATATTAATTACTTCTAGTTTGCCCGGGGCCCTGGGGGTTGGCGCTGGCAAGCGCTTGGGGACAAAATCTAAGAACTGAAGACCAACACTGTTCGTACCACCTCTATATGCTTTGTGCGGTCTGTTGCGATTTTGTAGCAGTACCAAAGTTGACCACTAGGAGGATCGGTGTCGAAAAGGCAGCAGCAGACGAGAAAACAATTGTAACGTAAAAGGTGTACCAAAGTGTAAATACAAACTCTAATATTTCTCACAACATTGTTCACGATAAGTTGTATTACTTATTATGTTATTGGCTTTGTCGAAAACTACGAGAAAAATTTGAAAAATGCACCACATGTCAAATTACTTTAAATAGTAATCGCGGAAACTCCGTTAAACCAGAAGCATCATTAATTAACTTAAAAAATAGGTGAGGACTCATTCATGCAAATACTCTTTTTTACAAACTCTTTGATAAAATAGAAAAATATTTTAGGGAAGTCATAAATAATCAGCTTGTCAATGTTGACGAATTTGTAGTTGAAAATTTTTTGCGCAATAAGTTTCAGTTCCCCTGTAAACTACATGAAGAGGATGCAATGTCCAAATCTATCTATTATTACACTATTGTTAGAATGAGACAGTACGTTAACATACAAAATAAAGATGTTTTAAAAGAAAGTAGAGAGAAAAAAAATTATTGAAATTGGTTTCAACCTAATTTTTAATTCATTAATTTATTGCCTCCATTGTATCTTATTCTACGTATTAGTAGTAGATTGTAAAATTTGTAAATAAATGGAGTTACGATTATATCATCTGGTTTTTGTATCTATATATTGTGCCTTTCTTACTCATACGCCATCTGACGAGTGTCATCGGTACTGCTACAAAACTGCAACCCGTTGGAGGAATACAAGGTCCGTGCCAAGTAACTATTTTTCTGTACATCGGCCTATGTTATATAACATAGGCCTGTGAAGCAAAAAAAAATTATATGGTACGGCCCCAGTGCCTGAACACACGCTCGGTTAGTTAAGTAAAGGTGGGGGTAGATACTAACCTAAGGGTGCAGTCCCATGGTACGAAATAGAGCTGCGCAATAGACTGTGCGCAATAGAAACAGCCAATCAGGGGTGTAATCCGCAATCGCCGCCAGCAGTTACATATGTAAGACGTGACAACGTTGCGTGGTTGGGGGCGCTACTGTCAATTTACAGGTGATGTGATCCGCAATCCCGCCAGCAGTAAAGCTGTTATTTATATTTTTGCTGTGATCCCGCGCAATTCCGCCAGCAGTAAAGCTGTTATTTCCATTTTTGTTTTTGGCACTTGAAACCAATTTTTTTCGTCCGTGTGTTTGTTTACGTCTAGCACAATATGCTTTGTTTACATTCAGAAAATGTCACGAAAAAGAGCAAGTAGACTGACGTTGTCTGCTTTACTTACTGCTGGTGGGATTGTGGATCACATCATCAGTAAATCGACAGTTGCGCCCCCAACCACGCAACGTTGTCACGTCTTACATATGTAACTGCTGGCGGCGATTGCGGATTACACCCTAGAGCTATTGCGGACGTTTCTATTGCAGAGAGGCAAAGTTCGCTATGGTCCCATGTGCAGGAAAGACCGATGCGTAACCCATGTAGGCTCGTGAGTGCGAGTGAGAGTTTCAAAGTATCTCTTTCTCTTCTTATAGTGAGAAAGAGATACTTTGAAACTCTCACTCGCACTCACGGGCGTGAATGAGTTACGCATCGGTCGTTCCTACAGATGTGACAATAGCGAACTTTGTCTCTCCGAAATAGAATGACATAACCAGCTGATCAACGGTGATAGTTTGTTTTTGTTGGTATGTTTTGGAGCTCAGTGTGAAATGTCTAACATTTTCTTTGGGAAGCATTCAATTACAATTCTTGCATTTATAATACTAAAATAAAAACTTTAATGAACTACAAAAATAGGTTATCAAAATTTAAGGCAAAAAGAATACAACTTACGCTTTTACATAATGCTGCATTATTGTTAGGAGCTCCACTCATTTAATTTTAGATTTGTTCAAACTTTTGGTTTGGTCTCGTTCTCTTAGTAAAGTAATACCTTACATAACCTCAAAGCTTTCTGACAGTTGCATGCTAAAATATAAGAACGTTCGAAACCTACAACCATAGAGATATTATGAGATAGAGTAGGGAAACCGGACTGTGCAGTGTCTGCTGAAGTAGAGAGAGAGAAGAGATTTCAGTACCTGTGCATCTCTCCCTGCCCTCTTCGCTGATTGGTTCCTTGGAAGGGGAAGTGATCCCACAGTGATCTTCAACTTAAGCCCCGCCCACTCAACACAGTTTAAGTACTCTTGTATTTAAGATTCTTATCTGCTATTATAGATACTTTCATCAATGGCCGAGTTAGCCAAATATTTTGCTCTTTAGCGCATCGTTAAGTGTCTTCGATTCCTGGATGCGTTAATTTTTTTTTTTTTTTATCAATAATATAAAAAAAACGTAAAAATGTATTTAAAATTTAATTTTTTAAAGTAAATTTAAATATTGTTGTTAAAATTCATCAAGTTTAGAAATAAAATTTGCAAGTAAGTACGGTTCAAAAATATTACTTTATTGGCCTTTAAATATGGTTAACTTGTTATAATGCGTACGAATCTTACTGATATACGTCAGGAAATCTAAAAATTATATAAGATTAATACTTGATATAAGATTGCTAAGCTTACTACAATATTAAGTTTTTAATTTACTTTATAATCAAGTAAAAAATTTAACATTTGGATATACTTATTTTTTTCATAAACATTTCAAAAACATACGTACTTGTGAAAGCCTCGGCTTTTATCATAAGGGTTTGATTCTTTCTGGCAAATAACACAAGTTTTTGTCATTTTTATCACTTTTACCGAACTAATTCACAATTTTTCTGTAACATTAGTGATGGTGCACACACAATGAGGTTATATGTATTGTTTACGTTTACTCAGCGGACAGCTCTCAGTGAAGTTGAGGCGGCGTGAGTAAAGATATAGGCATAGATTTTATATCTCTATGGATATATTTAAAACTGTTGGAAACTACAACCAATCAGCGAAGAGGGTAGAGAGAGATGAACAGGTACCGAAATCGTTCATCTCTTTCTTCTCCAGTGGACAGTTCCACTTACATGACACCCTATGAGGCTCGTTTACCGTCAAGCTTGAATCAGATGGCGCCAGAGCACACACCGTCAAATTTACAGTTGTGTATTGTGTTCGTGAGCCTATCTGTGTAATGAGCAAAGCAGAAGACACAACCTTTGTAAATGATTGCTGTTGTTTGCAGACAATTTTTGTTTGCATTTACGTTTAAAGATAGTAGGAAAAATGAAGTGCAATGTAATATCCTGCGATAAGAAAGTGAAATTTAAATTTCCTTCTGATAGTGTGACAAAAAAAAAGTGGCTCGAAGCAATTGGGAGACCAACATTTTTGCCGCTCCCAAGTCATGGCTTATGCCTCGACCACTTTGCCTCCTCCAGTTCTGCTTTTCTTTCACTGACTCTTGCTCCTCTCCCTTTTAAAAGCTTTTTCAATTCTGAAACTTCTAAGCTCCCATAATATTCTTTCTTGTCTTCCTTATTTATTTCAAAATTTCAAATATTGCGCTTTACCACTACACTTTACTTTCCTATGTACATACAATACTGAAAAGTAATGTTGTGTGAGTGAGACGGCCATGACAGCCGCGACGTGCCCTGGCGCCATCTGATTCAAGCTTGATGGTAAAAGAGCCTCATAGCTTCCCTAAATCCCTACTCTATCTTATAATATCTTTATGCCTGCAACAGCTTGATCGTCCGCAATAGCTCAAACGTCCGCAATAGCTTTGATTGGCTGTTTCTGTTGCGGACAGTCTGTTGCGGAGCTCTATGATCTATTTCGTACCATGGGACTGCACCCTAAGAGCTAACCAAAATATCATTTCCGAATACAACCAAGAACGAGCAGTCTTTGTTTCTTAAATGTCTATGACCGAGACCAGACGACAGGACTCTTTCTTAATCTATGTATTATACCTCTGTGGTCGTGGCTCGTGGGTAGTGGTTAGTGGCTTAGCCTAATGGGAGTGGGTGAGCTCTCCCTTTCTGCTTGAAAGTTGAAAGATGTTGGTCATCTCTACTGATAAGCGCATTGAACTGGTTATTAAATTTTGTAGTTGTACATTTGAATTGCTAAAACATAAAATTAACATTATTTATATTAAACTGTCAATTTAGAAAGTCCATGGAATTAAAAAAATTGTGTTTAATATAGATTAACACTATTAAATATAAAATAGTTTACATACTTCGTTTAAACTTGGTATGTGTTACAATTTAAACAACGTAGCCGTATGGTAAAAACATAAATCTTGTAGTTTTGACACATTAAAATCCAACTGTTGATATTTAACGAACTGTAATTGTACCAACTTGATTTTGTAAGATCAAAATATTTTAGAGACATTTTCCCTGTGTTCAATTCTTCAAATAAGTGAAAAATTGTAAGTTTTTAAGAATTTATTAAATCACATATTATTGTTACCTCTTTCAACCTGTATATTATTAAATGTTATTTTTTAAGCTTATAATGGATGAGGAATATGATGCAGTTGTATTGGGAACTGGTTTGAAGGAATGTATTTTATCGGGTATGTTGTCTGTTAGTGGTAAAAAAGTTTTGCACATAGATCGCAATAAATATTATGGTGGCGAATCAGCCTCAATCACTCCATTGGAAGATCTGTTCAGGTATTGTAATAAATAATTTGTTTTTTATCTTATTTTGATTCTGGGGTACTAGTAAAGATAACTTTACCGGCTTTCTAAAGTCTTAGCAGTTTATAAAAAAAATTGCCCTATGCCTATGTATTAATGCCAGTATTACCTTTAGCATCAATGTGTTATTGTTAAACTTGAGTTAAAGGCTGTTTTAATGGATAAATTTGAATGAAATATATTAAAACTCGTCAATTCAGGACAAATAATAGTGTTGGTGCAACTGCTAGTTAATTTACAGTTAATCCTTGGATTACCAGTTATTAGTTAAAATTTTTAGCAGTAGTGGTTTATCTTGCAATTAATTTATTACTGCATTTCGGGAGTTAAATTCGTTTGATTTTTCAGATTGATAACTGCAATTCAATATGAACACAATAGCACAACCGAAGTATAAACTTGTTAAATCAATTGATGGTTCAATCCAGAATTATATGGTACAAAAATCAAACTCAAAAGTTTCTTTGTGATTTACTTGATATATATTATTAATTAATACACGAATCAAACTTTTTTTCAACTCTAAGGTATTAAGACTTCAGACAATTTAAGACCGGGAATGTGTCTTTTACAATTCTAAATATACCATTAAATCTTCATAAATAAATATTTATTCGTTAACGAAAAATCGCAGTTGTTTATAAAAAAAGCATGTAATGTTTACTGATTTCATAGAAGTTGTGGTCGACAAACATGATCGATCCGGAGTTAATTTTTTTCATTGGGACCTACATTTGTGATGATGCCGGTGAGGGCATCATCACAAATGTAAGTGTGTGTTAGGGCAGTCATAATTTTATGTTTAAGACCGGCAAGGCGGTGTCCAACAATGTGCTTATTTCGAACGTTTTTTGCAACATCTCGTAAACAAGTGTCTGTAGCGTCATGCGGTTTGCGGTTTTTACAGGTAAGTAGCTGGTATTTTTAAGCAACCAAAAAAAAAAAAAAAAAAAAAAGTAGAAGTTACTCGAGTGAACGTTGAAGCCAATAAAGTTTTTTTCATGAGTCTCCCATTTCTTTATTAACGAATACTAACGCCTTAAATAACAGGTATGTATAGATTAACCTGACATTTTTAAAATTTGTCGAATAGCGATGTCAATTGAAACCATTGTTGCAACACATAATAAACGATAAAGAGTATCATTGTTAAATTACTAAATTATTGAACTATTTAAATGTTATAAACAAATTATTTTGAAAAATGGAAAGAATTTTGTTGTTTTGTTTCTAAAACAATTATGTTTTATAAATTAACATGCGACAATGACCTGCAGCCCCCTTAAGGAGGTTTAGGAGAAAAGTTGAAAATGTAGAATCTTGCCAAATATGTATGTTATATTTGAGTATATCAGGAATGCACATGCATTTTTCAGATTTTTTACTAAGGAAATTTTTGAAAAAAAAAAATATTAAATATTTTCAGTTTAACACGGTCTCTCATGAGAGAACAAGGTTAGGTTGCCTTCTAATTAAAGTATACGGTACATTATAAATATGTTAGATTAATAAAATAGTTTTTATAGATACCTTAGTACAAAAGGAAGATTCTAAACAAAAAGAATCACGACTTGCCAGCCTTTTCTCAAAAATATAATCAATTACAGTCGTACATATTCAAGTTTGTTGAGTGCAAGAGGTAGTGCGCGGTAAAGGGGGTACATCTTTGCGGGCAGGGAGGACTCGCCGGTCCTCGTCTCTTTGAATGATACTCCCAAACCTCCTCAAACGACTGATGCGCTTAATCCAGACAGTATTTGCTATGTGCAGTATGTAGGGTTTATGTCCTACTGCTTTATTTACTGTTATTACATGTACGGCTCGGACTCGAGCTCGGCAAGGACTGAAGTCGTCAGTAAGCGGTTACACCGCACGACTAGTATAGAGTGGGGTTAAGCCCCTACAGTACTCCCTTCAAGTTTGAACGTAGTTAAAACTTACAAACGGTCTTGTACCAAAATAATTACAATTTTTAAACGTGTACAAACAAAATTTTACGAGGGAAAATACATTGTATGTTGCAGACAAATAGATTTCAATAAGATATCTGATCTGTTTTACAACTCTTCAGATTATTTTTAAAACAAACAGTTTCGTATTAATACATTAACTGAACACTTTTAAAGTCAGCTTGCCCTGCGGCACACACATCAGTTACAAAACCATGTCAATTTGATAATAGAAAAATTATTGAGCGCTGCTACTATTTTTTACAAAAATACGTATAAACATTAGGAAAAAACAAAATAATCAGCAACAGCGCCTTCCTTAAAGAGGTAAAATATCGAGCTTTCGTAACAATGCTTAAAATAATTAGGCTCGAATTATAAGCTTGCCATCGGTTTACGCGCGTGTCAATATTTTATCGTATAACCAAAACCATAAAAGGGAATTACAACGCTTAGCCATAACAATGAGAGCTGTTATAATTGGGTTATACGGACATCAGTCTTTTATACAATATGAAAATTGGACTAGAAATAGAGCTATCACATTAATTTAAAATAATACTGATAATTAAACTATGGTCCTTGTGACGCCACTCAATTAATTGCACATACGTAACGCAATATACACTCGCTGGTCTTGAACATGCGAGGGCGGCCAGGAGGCATGGCGGCAACATGGTCGATGTTACTTCACACAGTACGTGGCTTCCAAAATGGCCAATGTTGCGACGACCAGCACGTGGCTCCAAAAAAAATAGCCAACCCTTTGGCACGCGGCACGAGGCCAAGCACAAAATGAGGCCAAACGGCTGCCGAGGTGTCAACGACTCTGCCTAACATGTGCAGAAGGGCGAAGACAAAAACCTCGAAGACGAGCGCAGCGGAATTGCACCTGGTAAAGTCACACCTGTAGGATGATGAAGGTGGAGCATGTGGCCGATGTACAGGCTCGAAAATGGACGCGCACACAACAGCAACACACATCATATGGTCAACAATGCAGATCTTGGCGATGAAGGAAGGAGAAATAGCACCACGAGCGCGAGCACCAGCCAGGTCAAGCAACGAGGCATCGCATCAGGCGACGACGTCGTATCAAGCGCCAATATGACCCACGTGGGGGCGAAATAAGCTCGGGCTTAACTAATAAAACGGTAGCAACAAAAGAAAAGGCTCACCATAGCTGACACTTCCACAATAAATGCCCCAGCAAAGAAATTTTCAGGTTGACGAGGATGAGCATGTCGGGCGACCAATGCCAGTGCCAAGTCGACGACGACGAATACGATCAACAAAATCACGTCGGGGTCACCAATGTAGGGTTTATGTCCTCACATATATATATGTCGTCGTGGGAGAAGGTGCTGGAATGAGTAGAGAGACCTTGTATATGAGTGTGTGCTTTATTTACTGTTAATACATGTACGGCTCGGACTCGAGCTCGGCAAGGACTGAAGTCGTCAGTAAGCGGTTACACCGCACGACTAGTATAGAGTGGGGGTAAGCCCCTACAAGTAATCTGAAACAACGCCACCTGCACGGAAAGAAGGAGGCGATGCTGGATAACATGATTACATAGCCTGTTATGGCCTGCAAACACTAATTATTTTGTAAGCTATTGCATAGCTCTTATCGCGGGCTTTGAGTGCGACGACAGCATCAAGAAATTCCGTAACGAAAAAAAAACCTAACACCCCCCACTCCGCCTACCATGTAGCTCGGGCCAGCGTTTGCTTAACGTCTATGTATATGGTACGACTTTACGAAGCTCGCACAGATCGAGAGGAGCTGCTCCGACATCGGGCGAAACGTAAGCAGCAGTTTGTGAGAAAGTATATTGGTGTATAGGTAGCTATCATATCTTTATAATGCCACACTCACCGCATGTACGCCCCGTAAGTATACATGTAGGTATATATGTATACATAGGTGTACCTAAGTATAACACAGTGAATAGTGCTCTTGACTGCGGAAGAAAACTAAACGTGACCGTGTCAGCTTACCACCACTGAAACTAACGCCAGGCGTCGCTAAGTAGGTGGCATACTGAAATCGGGTGGTGCGAGATTTAAAAATAGAAACCCTCTTAAACAAATATAAACGTGATTAATTCGGTAATCCCGTAACCTGATCAATTGGAATATCAATCTTTACGCTGATAATTAATTAATTGATCAATTGTTAATTATTATTCCATTTGAGTATTTACATCATACTTTAAAAAACATTTTTATATCATTGTAAAATTAATTTGTAAGTTTTTATAACGCAATTAGTAAGAATTATTTAATCTAAACGTCCTTGTAGCTTAATAATATTTCTCCGCTAGATAAAGTTGAATTGCATGGTCTACTGATATACCCGGCCAAAAGAGAATGCGCAAAAAATTAGGTATACTTTGAAAAAGTAATTATTTAAAATATAAGTATACTTACCTGTGTATTTGGAATCGTAAGATTTGATGGCTCCAAATATACAAGTAAGTATACTTATATTTAAAGTTAACTATCGAAATTATCAGTGTTATAACCTGCAGTAATATTTCGATTAATTTATTATTATTATTTTCTTTCATTATTAAACTACGTACAAGTGTGACATCTTCAATTTGTGTAACTATTCGATTGGGATATTACTGGTTAAGCAACAAGAAAAGTGTTCGAGGCATGTGCGTTAGCACACACTAGGCTCGGATAGGGTGATTGGGAAGACACAATAAAACACAATAAAATTAAACAGCATAAAAATAACAACTTTTAATATCACTCAAAGGCCAAGAAAAATCACAGTTAATATTCACAAAAATAGTAAAGATAAAAATAATACAGGAGAAAAGAAATAATGTCTATAGTCTTAAAGCAATGAACTATTGAAATATATAAAAGCGAAGAATGTAGAAAGAAAAGAGTCAAGTTGAATAACACAATATGTAAACACGCACTGGCCTTGAGCTCGCAAGAGAGTTTGAAAGTTACACGAAATAAATGTGAAAATAAAAGCACTGATATAATATAACTGATTAAA